TTTTCTTTACTATGTAAAAATCCAATCTACCATGCAGATCATATGAAAAATGATCTACGTACACCCTACCCTTAAACAAAAAAAAAATGATTGAGACGGTGGATAATAGAGACGAACTTATAAAATATTCCTTCGATATTTTGTGGAAAGCAACTGATGAAAAAATAATTTCAGTTACCTTTAATGAAAATCTATTATTTACAGTTACATTTAACTTGAACGATGGGACTTCCAAAATGGTAAATTTAGATGCTCCAAAGGTAGTCCTCCTTACCAGAGAAAACTTTATAAAGATTTTAAGAGATATCGAACAGAATGAAAAGGAAATTACAATAGATGACGATGAGGTAATTACAATTATCTTTTAGGTTTATGCTACATATAGAAACTAACAAGGCAAAAAATCTTATAAAGGAACCTGGTAATTCATTAACAGAAATAGGCATTCAAGAAAGTGCACAAAATTCTAGCTTCGATGTTGAGGAAGATAGTACTTTACAGATAAATACTCAAATCTATAATGATTCTGGCGATCTCATATCCATACCTTCAAGACTCAAAGAAAAAAAAGTATACATTAAAATTCGAAATTCATTTAATATCAGTTATAATGCAGAAATATTAGCACTCGAGAAAAAAATTAAGGATTTAAAAAATTTAAAAAATTATGAAGAATTACAAAATAAGTTTAAAAGATTAATTGATGAAAATAAAAAATTAAAACATAAAAAATTTAAAATTGTTAACAAAATAAATGAGCTAAAAAAAATACTGGGCAAAACAAATCAAAATTCTTTTCAAAGTCTAACGAGAATGAGATACTTAAGAAAATATTTAATCAACATATAACGAAATTTATCGAAATTCTTAATAAAAAAACATTACATGAAGAACTTTCAATCGAACAACATGAAGAACTTTCAATCGAACAAAAATTTATTGAAATTCTTAATAAAAAAACATTACATGAAGGACTTTCAATCGAACAAAAATTTAACGATATTGTAAATATGAGAACTGAGTTTATAATGGCAGAAATTCTGAATGATTTTGAAATCCAAAGAAAAACAGATCATAAAAACGATCAATTATGGAGAGAAACAAATTTCGTAAATAGCAAAAAAAGTCAATTAATTCAAATTATAACTAATGATGAAGATAAATTAAAAAGATTAGATACAGAAGTAGAAAATGTTGTTGATAAATTAAAGAAAAAAATTGAAGCTAAAATAAAATTGGATTTTGAAAAGGAAATAAATTTTGAATCCAGTAAATCAAAACTAGAAAAACAAATTAATGAGCTGGAAGAAAATGATGATTTCAAAATGTTGCATAAAATAGTAGATGATTTAATTAAAGAAAATAGAGATTTAGAAGATTTTAATTATACAAAGTCTAAATACATAACAGAACTAATCAAAGAAATAAATTTTAAATTGAAATGGAAAAACTTAAACAAATAGAAGAGAACCTGTGAAGTAGTCAGAAAAGTATTCAAGACCTTAAATTATTCAACAAACAATGCCACTATGGGCAAGGATCTTAAAAAAATATGAGTCTCATTGTTGTAGTATCAATTAAATAATTCAACAAAAGCAAGATTTTTAAATTTTCTTTAATAGTCATATTCTTAAAGCATTTTACACCAGCCTAAATTTATTTGAGAATTCATTAACTATTATCTGACTGGCACCTTTACTTTTTTTTGAATTTAGTTTATTCAGAATAGTTTCATTGGATCTTTACATTTTTCTTCTTTACTGATACACGATATACGTACTAATTAATCAAAACCATGCCAGGTACATATGTAACAGATTTTTACATAGTCAGCAAAATCGTAAATTCACTACGTAGCAAAGACTAGTATTCAAAATTTGATTCATCTCACATACAATATACATTTTTCCGAGAATTTTTGCACCAAATGATTGATATAAAAAGAAGTTACTTGAGATTTAGATTAAATTGATAAAAATCGCCCATAAACTAAAAAAAGTGAATTTACTTTGTAAAAGAAATTTCAAACTGTTTGCTACGTAGCAAACTTAAATGTTTTGCAATATATATAAATTTAATACTGTAATCAGCTTTGTTTGTTTAGCTCGTATATACAGTACCCAATAACATAAGCTTAATATCAATTATGGTTAAAAAATACAAAAAACGAAAACAATGATTTTATCAATTTTTTAGCAATGATTTCTCTGTACGTACGTACAGACATATGCATCTGAATGTTATTAACATTAAATTAAATTTCGGATTGACCCCTAATTATTACACTATCATGCTGATTAACGCAAGAAAATCTTAGTGTTTAAATAAATATTTTAAAACCTATATTATGAATTCTCACGATAGCTGTCTTCTTCAGCCATTTATGATGAGGTGTATGCGTTTTGTAAGTTATCTTTGAAATAATTATTTTTATGTCTTGACATCTAATCGTTCAGAATCATTTACTATTAAATAGATTAAAGCACGTAAGCTCCGAAGAAAATATTCAAAATATTACCCATTCTTTCTTTTATTCTAAAGTCGTTAAATCTAATTATTTTAAAAAGAATAATTTTTGTATGGGAACTTTGCATATTGGTTGTTTATATAATTAATTATAAGATGATTTATAAGAACGGATTATAATACATGAATTGGGAAATCAGATTATGGTTTTTTGCAATGATATTTATAATTTTGTAAACATTAACTGTTAAAAAGCTGATGACAAGTTAGACATTGTTAACAGGACAAAAGATATTATTTTATAAGCATTATAAATTTCTGTAAAGAAATTTCACAAATTATCATGTTTAGATAATCAGTTAAATTGTTGTGAACGTGTAGTTTGATTTTATTAATGTCAAAAAAATAAAATCAAGAACTTTAGGGTTAAAGAGAATTGTTAAAGCTCATTTTACTATTTAAATCTCCATATACTTCAACTATCTTACGCAAGTAGTCATTTTTTAGAATTATTAAAATCCGTTGTTGAGATTCGTAAATAAAATTTATTGCATAGCCAGGATAGGCCCCAAAAATTTTTTAAATTTGATATAAAAATAAATAAAAATCCCAGCATTAGCTGCACGATTGTGATAAATAAATAAACAAAAATAAAAGAGATCGATTTATTTATTCATGCAAACACTTAAAATTGATTTTATGGTTCCTTCATAAATTAATGTTTTACCTAAGGATTAGGTTTCGCAATGGAACGTGTTGGCCGGGTTTGCCAGGGCCCAAATCTGAGGACTAACTGAGTGATAATCACATCACGTGTAATTATGGAATGACGTTATTTGTTTATTAGGCCGTGTATTTAATTCAGTTTGACCAATTGACCAATTTAACCAGACCAATTTGACCAGCAATTTTTTGCTTGACCACTGATTTGCCCAACACTGTATTTATGTGATGAACACTATCTACTCTGATTATTGTTACGGAAAATTTCTTCGAAATTTTCCTTGCTTTGCAAATTATCAATATATAGTTCCTTTTTCTATTATATAAAAGCAATAAATTACGTAGTCGCGATAGTAGTAGCACATGCATGGGTTCG